CCCCCCTCAACAAAAAACCCTCGTCCGAAATGGGGGGGGGGGGGGGGAAGAAATCAATTACTCTGCTCTGGCCTTGCACTTTGAACTATTTGTTTTATCTCAAAATCTTTCACAAGTGCAAAATGCTACTAAACCATTCTTCATTCCCTTTAAACTTTTATGTTTAAAAAAAATAATATGCATTAATTTTACTAAAATTTAAAATAAGTTGGGATAAACCCTTCTACTGAGTCTGTTCTGAGTCGATAATAGTGTATCAACTCAACAAAATTCTTCATCTTTTACTACCTGTCTTTAGAGGTCACAAGAAGAACCAATTAACACTTGAAATTGCTAGCTCAAAAATTTTGGCTGAGGACATTTGTAAGATTTGAAATTTTCTTTTCAAAATTTTCCATTAAAAAAACCTATTTCAAACAAACTTCAGTTACAAACCACTGAACCGAGGTTTATTGAAGAAGTATGCTCCTTCTTCTAAAACAAAATATGAGCTAGATGACCAAACAGATTTATTTCTGCTTATTGCCGAATGATAGATATGAAACTAATGTTCATTTAGGGATGCCTGAGACTGCAAACTGACCAACTGCCAAAAAAATAAGAAAATCAAATAGAAAAACTGTCATTCAGGAAAGCAGGTAGGCACATGCTGACATCTCCACACGTGTCTGACATTTCCACAAAACGTTTCATTTTCAAGAAATCATATTCTTCCAAGGTTTTATGCCAAAAAGCGCAAACAGTAACAATAATGCTGGTAAAGGAGGTTCTTTTTCTCTGCTGGATGTTTAAATTAAAAACTCATACAATGGTAATTTTAATCAAGATATAATCTTGCAGGAATAAAAGACAGGTTTCTTTTATCTATGTACTCATGGACTAAATTGAATAAGTCCATTTTTCCCAAGTTACAAGAAAAAAAAATATTCCACACACTTAGCATGCCCTTCCCTTGTCTGACATCCTTTTGCCTGTCAGATCGTGCGGCTGTCCTCTGTACACTAAGCCTTGCTTCTGAACCAGCTTGAGCATCTTCAGAGCACCCAGGCTTTGTAAGAGCAAGGGTCCATTTAGTTCCCTGTCTCATTTCTAACAGAAGCCTACAGCAAGTTAGAAAGGAAGAGCCAAAACTATAAATTTACTCCATTTTTTATACCACTGAGAAGATGAAATAATGCCCATTTATCCTACCACTGTTAGCATAATAACGTTCTAGATAATTCTACTCATTCTAAGCAAAAAGTATCATATAAATTAATGGTTACTCCATTTGAACTCGAGAAAAAATTCAGTACGCGCTCTAGAATGTTAATATCCCTCCTACGCCTTTATTATAGTTCAACCAATTGCAAGCATTATTACTATCTCCTGGATGAATAATCAAGTTGCTAATGTCAAATAACGCTGTACTTTATGAGTCTATATGGTTCTCTACACTCTAAAAAAAAAAACGTGCCACACTTTTTGTTGACTTTCTGTTATTCAGTGCAAAGGATAACATGAATTACTCACCTGCTCCCTCAAGGAGAGAGCCAAATAATAGACTAGCTACCACAGACTGCACAGGCAAAAGATCACAATGCTATTTTCAAGGATAGATGTTGTTTCCACAGGTCAAACGCTGGGGAAACAATGGCCTGGTCTGAGTCTGTGGATACACTACTAGCTAATAAAGGTAAGAAGTAAGTGAAAAATATTTTTTTAAAAACGTGTGTCAACCCAGTTCACAAACGCTGCTGTCAGGTTTTAATGCTGCTCTCCAGTTCAACTCTCCACGTGCTTTGAACCACAGCCGCGCTACTGCCGGAGGCATGCGAGCTGCTGTGCTGAAAGGCAGAGGGGGCATGTTTCTCCAGGCTGCAAACACAATATACATCTGGCCAATGCTTAAGGGACATTTAAGAAGGCAGAAGCCCTCTGAAAGTGTTTTGTTTTATGAAGATAACGGTGTAATGGTTCTGTTCTTCCTATTTTTTTAAATAAGAAAAAAACCCACAAACTTTTTCTTAGGTTTCTCCTGTTACAAAGAAATATGTGCGTTGCGCATTGACTTTCAGTCAAACAAAAAATTATCATTTCTAATATATCCAAAGTCACTTCTCCAAGAGATCCTATTCCTACTGACCTGAAACCTCAAATCACATGTAACTTTAAAAATTCCCTTGCCCCTGCCCCATTTTCCAGCAGTAACTTTGTGGCCTGGAGTGGTATGGTGCCTCCATACTGTTTCTGAACAGTATTAACTTGACTAACACATCTAAATTTGGGTGCTGTCAGCTTTCTTTTCTAAGAGCTTGTGATTTGGATTAATTTTAAAACAATTTCTTCCAAACAAACCTTTCTTTGTTTCATTTTTTTCTCTTAAAAGCACAAAAAACTGCCGAACAAAGAAGTAACAAAAAGTCCATCTCTTCATCCAAGTCTTAATCATTACTTGAAAGGAGATGGAAGCGTTATTTAGGCAGGCTAACTTCAGCTCTGAGAGGAGCACACTACCACAACATGACTTAATTTTCTTCTTGCTTCTTAGACCAGTGGTCAGCCTCAAATCCCTAATTTTCTAATCAATAGCCTCAAATCCCTATTTTCTAATTCCCTACAAATCCTCTTGAAGACCAAAACCTCCAGGATCCCCTTTTGACTAGTGCGTCAGTGCTAGAGAGACCAAACCACAGCAGGCAGGTATTGGGAGCATTCCTCAATTAGTAACTCTGAAAGAATTCTCCTAGTCACCTTATCATCATTATAGGTTAACCTCCTATTTATTTCCCCCACAACAACCTCTTAACACTGACTGCTGGCTGACAGGCAAAACAATATCAGACACATAAGTTACACTATATATACTGCATATATATACACACACACACACACACATGTGTATATACATACATATAATCTGTATTGGTCTTTCAGTTTCCCTCTACCCATCATCTCATGCATTTTTCCCCAGATGGCTTGGCAGCTTTTAGGACGTTTTTGAAGTCAGAGTTCAGTGAGGAGAATGTGGAGTTCTGGCTGGCCTGCGAGGACTTCAAGAAAACCAAATCCTCCACTAAGATCGCCTCAAAAGCCCAAAAAATTTATTCTGACTTTATAGAAGCTGATGCTCCAAAGGAGGTAAATAGTTTTTTGTGTGTACTTTGGGTACTGAGGATGGGTATCAAGTGGAAAGTTCAGATCCAAACTTCCAGGCATGACAGAAAGTACAGTTCAATGTGGCTGTACTTCCATTTTCCTGTCAATTCTTTACCAGGTAGAAAACAACGTATGGAACTCTGTGAAGCAAACAAAGACCTCTTATGGTTTATACTTTACATACATTCTTCACACAGGGCATGGGTTTCTCTTACCTGAAGTTTCTACCTTAAGATTTAAGGAAATACATGTTCAATATAATTTCTTTTCTCTAACCATTTCTACAATGCAATAAGCACCATTTCCTCTGTATTTTAGGTACCAGTATATTGGAACGTTAATGATTCTATTTGTTCTTTTGTACAGATATTTTTGATGTGATGAAAATTAAAATGCAAACTTGCAAAAATTTCCATCACAGCATTCAATTTTATCATTATTTAAAAAATGCTTACTGTGAAGGAAGAAATTGCTAATTAATTATTGATCACGTTCTGCTCCCTAACAAACTTTTACTCTGAAGTTTTTGCCTTTGATAGTGAGCATGCTTTGAATGTCCGCATGTCTTACATATGATTGAAATTCATTTTATTATTATTAAAAACAAAAAATCCTTACAAAATACATAGGGCCAAAACCTAAACCGATGCCGAGTACCTTCATCTCTAACTTACTCTTTGGTAATCGGTACTTCATAGGATTTGGTTTGGCAAAAAGATGAGATAATCAGAAGCAAGTTTTTCCCTTCTTTTTTCAGTGATGCCATCTTTTTAAGAGCCAAATAAAATAAAGAATTCAGTATGCTAGAAAATGAAGGGATGACCTTCCTGCTTATTTGCATCAGCCAGGGTATTTGGGAGGAAATTCAAATGCAGACTGTGTCCCGTACACGAACAGACCTCAGCTTTCCAATCAAACTAACGTTGGTTTTATGCCTCCTTTCTTCCTACAGATTAATATTGACTTCCAAACCAAAACCCACATCTCTCAGAATATCTCCGAGCCCACCCTCAGCTGCTTTGATGATGCTCAGAGGTTAATCTATAGTCTCATGGCAAAGGACTCCTTTCCCAGGTTTCTAAGATCAGAAGCATACAAGGAACTAGTACAGAAGCAACAGAGTGGAAATCAGAAGAGATGGCTCCCATTTTTGTGAGAAAATACCTGAGGGATTATGAATTTTTAAATCTCTCCCATTGCAACTCAGTACAGATAATATTTTATTAAAGTGATTGTACAAACCAGATCTAAGGATTGCCTTTACCAGCTTGTTTTTAAGTGCAATGTGCACATGATACTTTCTAATAACAGTGGAGAAATATTCAAGAAACAGGATGGAACATGCTAAGACATTTGAGCTACCTTTTTACTAAAGAAGCTTGCCATTGATAATTTTTCCAGTGCTTGCTTTATTTGTCAAAATGTTTTCACATTTTTAAGCAGAATGTTTTGGTTTTCTGGTTTGCTGTTGATTTTTCTTTAGAAGTATGGCCTCAAAAATAAGTTCTTTTCAGGGAACTTGAATACGTTTACTCATTCATTCATCCTCTTATTTGTAATTTGTAAAAAACCTCAACATCCTCTTTTAAACATATTTTATACCAATTCAAAACAGAAGAAGTAGAAATATGGTAGATAAGACTATGATAATATTTAATAAGTAGGCAGCTGCTTTCTAACAAATGTTCCTGGCATTCAGAGCAAATTAATGTTTCATAATACTTCTGTCTCCAATATGACTCTCTTTAATTTTCTTTGTGTTTATATAATTTAAATTATTGAAAAGTCTCATTTATTAATTGTGTAGGCATTTTGGACAAAACCTGAGTAAATCTTCCTGTGTATATTTTCAATTAATAATTAATTTTCTTTGCTTTTCCAAATGCATCAGTGATACTGTCCCCATGCACTCGTGAAGAAGAAATATCAATAATTATAACCACTTTTCAATGAAATACAGATAAGCAGGAAAGTAGACATAAGGCAAGTAAGCACATAAATCAGAATTTAGTCATGGTGTTATTTTTCAAACAGGCAAGATATGATAGGATTCTAACGCAATCTTCAGGTGTCTCCAGATGCACACACTGATCTCATTCATTGCTATTAGATTTATTGCATATATTTATGTGAAGGAAGGAGCTGTACTGAAGAAAAAGAAATATTTTGAACGACATGGGGCAGGAAGAATCTTCACTATGGAGAACAATTCTAAACACAAGAGACAGCAATAAGATTTTTCAAAAAAAAGAAAAATCTTTCACTTTATATGAATTTGATCCTTTTGATTCTTTTGCTTTTGAGCTGCTCTGAATCTCCAGGAATTTCTCCCTGTTTGGAACTCTATTTATGCCTTCTACACACCATCACATCCCTCTATGCAAAAGACCCTCTCTATTTTATCAAACTACATTAAGGAACTAATTCATTTAGACAATAAAGGATATTAAGTAGTCTGAAAGCCCCAATATGCTGCCTTTGGTCACGTACTTAGGTTTGTGTCCTGCCACAGCTTATGTAGGTAGGTAGGTAGGGTGTAAAATATCTGTTCTTTGATACTCATCATCTCTTCTATCACCTAGTTTTTCTTCTTGCTGTCTGCATTTCTTTTTCTTCCCCAGTACTAGTGGTTAACAGAGAAATGAACACGGTCGCTGAAGTTGAGCTACAAGGAGGATGTGGGTTTGTTTTGCAGTCCCACAGCTACCGTTCATTTTGCAATGATACTTCAGTGGAAAATTGCAACTTCCGTCTGCAGCGCAGCCTTGGCATCCTTTCTGCACCAGGGGATTTCTGCTGGTTAAAGTCACAGTAAAGACAGCAGTCAGGATTGCTGAAATTACATCATTTACTCAAAAATGTAGCAAGTCATTTTCCCTTCTTACAAATCCAATTCTCATTTTCAGAAGAGAAAATTCCCAGTAGGAAGAAGTGGGATCATGTCCCCTTTCTTAGTAGGGCAAGTAGAAAGCCAAAAAATTCTGCTATACCAATCGTTTAGGACCTAAGGATAAAAAAAAAAAGTACCTTGAAAAGAGATATGTGATCACGAAATCTCACAAGTCTCTCTGTGCTCCTTTAAAACTTGCACACTCCAGACTTCACCCCATCACAAACAGAGCTAGAAAGTGTTCGAAAGATGGCTGCCAGGGATCTCTCATTCCTGACTGTTTGGAAACACAGCATAAGAAGTTAAAAATATATATAAAACTGTCAAACTTGATAAAAATAATGCATGTTATTATTCTGGTAACTATATAAAAACAATAGTAGGAAGCATCGTGTCCACATGACATCTGGCTGATTCTCTATGATCAACAGCATAATTATTGTCAATAGAGTAGATCATTCTTAACATTTTAGCATTTGACATTCATTTTAATAATTACATAATAAAGCATCGTGAATGGTTTTAACACGTTTTCAATTAATTTAGAATGTTTTAAGAGAAATGTACAGAAACTGCACTTTTAGGGGTTATCAAGTGTAGGGGCTCAAGTATAAAGTAACAGTACTAATCCTTTCATAACCCCCTAATTAAAACTATGCTAGTTTTAATTAACTAACAAAGTTAAACTTTTGTTGTTGATCATGCCTTTCAACATTTGTATTAATTAATCTGTTTCAGATGCTTAAATATGTGATGAAACTTTGCAAAGTTTAAATAAATCATCACTATAAAGTCATATATATCCAATGATAATTGGATGCACATTCACAATTAATTTTTAAAACCCTCAGAGCACTATCTGACTACATCATATGCAATTAAACAAAAGAATCTACGGTATATTGAAGTGTGTTAAAGTTTAACAATCAAATTTCTGAAAACTTCTGTAATATAACTTATTATTAAAGCATTATTAAAGATCCATTTCAGAAAGTACCTGAAAATGCTCAGATGTGAAATACAGGAGCCAGTAGTCTTTATTTCTCTTTATTTTCTAGGTCTAAAACTGACGCTTCATACTTCTACAACACCAAAAAAAAGGTCACAGCCTAGCATCTGAGCTCTGATAATATGACATAGGAAAAGGCAAGGCACTGAAGTATGATTTAGAAGATTTAGACTGAACTTTGCCAAAATCGCAGAGCTTTACCAAGAACTTCCAGCATGACCTTGGCCCAATTGTATAATCTATTGCGCAGCAGTTATGAAATTGAGAAGTTACCTCCATCTTCCATCAAAATGTAATATATTTATGCCCTTTAATATTTGGGGACCATGCAGACAATCCAGGAAGGCACAATCTATGTTCAGGCTTCAGAGCGATCCTTCAGAGCAAAGCCAATTAATACCAGTGTAATATCTTCATTGTCAAAGCCACTAAAGTTTGAAAAACTTGGATATACATTTTCTGGAGAGGGGTCACAACTATTCTTATAAGTTTGTACATCACCTATTCCTGTGGAACCTCCAGCACTAACACATTACCAGAATTATTTATCCTATACTACAGTGCTGTTAATACTGCATATTACATGTTCAATAATTATCTTACAGATGTTACGATGGACTTTTTAGGGAGGTTTTGGTGTGGTCTTTTTTTTGCTAGCCCATAATAAAAAGAGGAAGAAAATACTGTTATAGCTAAATAGAAAGCACTTTTAAAAAGTTGCATTAGAAACCATGTTTGCACTCCAAGCCTCCCTGTTGCTTTCACTGAAAAATAAAAAGTGGCTATTTGGGTTTTTTTCCCCTCTCTTTACAAGTCCAAGACAGGCAAAAATCTCAATTCTGAGAAGAATTTTTTTTTTTTTAAAGGACTCAATCTCTTTCAGCACAAAAATTAGATTGACAAAAAAACCCCTACCAAGTAGAAATGGTAGAAATAAATGCAAAGTTAACACCACATTTCTCAAAAACAAAAAAATCTCAATTCCTGCATGCAGTGCCAATCCTAAAGCTCCAACAGCATCTAGACTAACAGACCCCCTCAGATCCATTATGCTCACATCATGACAGGACTGTCCCAGAATTAAAGGCATAATAATAAAATAATACATACTATGTTATATATTTTTATATATTTATATAATAATATATAATATATAAATCTAAAAATAATAAGCATATACATAAATATAATAAATGCTTAATTAGTCCTCAATACAGGACTGATATCAGTATTGTTCTGAAGCACAGGATCCCAAATTACAGGCGGACAGGTATATTTCCAGTGGTAGTCAGGGCTTTGTGAGACTCCTACCTATGTCTTGTCAAACGTTTGTTAAATTCAGCATGCTTCTGTAAATGCTGGCGATGAAGACAGAAAATTCTCTGGTAACATTGTAATGCAAAAATGTACTTGAACAGACACACATAATCACAGGCTTTGCACAAGAACCTCCTAGATTTTTGTTTTGATCTTGATCCAAACAAAAAAAATTCAGAATACAGAATCCCTCAAGCAGCATCTGATGCTAAATAAGATGACCATCATGCTACGAACCTACACAATTTGAGGAGAGTTTTGCACCCATTAACCCATACTGAATAACAGTTTTGCTCATGTACCCAAATATGCAAGTCTAATATTCATCTCTGGTTACAGAGTTGTCAAAGTGGATTTTCAATTAGCAGTTTTCAGCGCAGGGCTCTCCTAAAGCATTTTGATTGATGTCAGACCCGAGAGACCTGTCCCCGTGGCACACTGACACCCTGCTCGTCCTCTCCTCCCTGAGCTCTCTCCAGCCACTGGGCAACAGCGACCTTCTTAAACTAGCCTTATTTTCCATATATAAGATCTCCCTCTTGATGAGATGTCTATGCGAGATTCCCTTCTTGACCCAGTTCAGCTGTTTTAGAGGATACAGCTTTTGAAATGAAATTCAATCATGGAAAGAGGCAGTAACAGCTTTAATAATTCCTGCAATTTATCCAAACATGAATGATACCAGTGTGGTCAAACTATTCCAGCAAGCAGCAGCTAGAAAACATTCCATTTGACAACTTCCCCACATAGGCGTGCCAGAGCTGGCTCATTACATTTTTGATTTTTATCTTCTCTCTATACCACACATTTTTAGGAATGCTCCATCTTGTGTGGAATTGTGTGAACAAAGGCACATAAGCCAGTGGAAGGGCCCCAGCTCACCTATGTGAATGTTAGACCAGATGCAAGATAATACAATCCACTATCTGAACTAGAAATA